GCCTATAATCCCAGCTACTCAGGAGGCTGAGGAAGGAGAATCACTTGAGCCCGGGAGGTCAAGGTTGCAGTGAGCTGTGATTGCGCCACTGCACTCCAGCCTGGGTGACAGAGTGAGACCCTGTCTCAAAAATAATAATAATAATACCAATAAAATACATTATACAGATCTTTTATTGTTTCATTGAGAAGATCTTTCAGGTGACCTGATTTACCGTATTGCTGAAAATAGTCATTGATTTACTTAATCATTTGATTTTCATGCAGGGGCCAAACCTGGTCCACAAATACATTACCAAAGTAGGTAACTGCGGCCAGGCGCGGTGGCTCACGCCTGTAATCCCAGCACTTTGGGCAGCCGAGGCGGGTGGATCACGAGGTCAGAGAGCCATCACGTTCAGAGAAGCTCTCTCCAAGATTTCCTCCCAGTGGTGTTTCCTTTTTTTTCCACCATAGCCCTCTATGGGACTTTCCAAATATCACTTTGCCCCAATTTCCAAAGAACTGTCCCCTTGCGAAAGACTTCTTGAGGGAAAGCGTAAATCTCTGTGAGCCTGATTTCCACCACACAAAGAGTTTTCTCAGAAACGCTTCTTTCTCTTTGTTATCGAGGAAATTTGCCTTTGCCCTATAAGTCTTCCCAAGGGATCCGCTAATATCTGTTCTCGATTCCAAAGAAACAGCACGGAGGATACAAAAAATACAGATGTAACTCTGTGAGGTTGCATTACGAACACTAAGCCAGTTTTCAGGAAAGCATTCTCTCCCAGATTTCCACTCTGAGGATATTTCGCTTTTCCAACATACCTCTACAGGGGCTTCCAGAAATATCCCTTTGCCAAGCTTCCACAAGAACTGTTCAAAGAAGACCCATCCAAGAGGGAAAGCTGTAAACTCTGTGAGATGATGTATCACAGAACACAACAGAAGTTTCTCATAACAAGGCTTCTTTCTCTTTTTTATTCGGAGGGCATATTTCCTTTAGACCTAAGCCTTTCCAAGGGATCCGAAGTATCTGTTCTCAATTCCACAGAAATAGTGCCAGCAAAAGTCCGCACGTAATACAGGATTATAACCTCTGTGAAGAGGATCCACATCATACACAAAGCAGTTTCCTCAGAAGCTTCTTTCCAAGACTTTCCAATCTGAGGATATGTTCCCTTTTCAACCATATCCTCCTATGGGCTTCCAAATATCACTTTGCCACTCCCACAAGACGTGTCCCTTAGCACAGGTTTCTTGAGGGAAAGCTGTAACTCTGTGGCTGATGATTTCACAGAACACAACAAGTACGATCATTCTCAGAAAACTTCATCTCTATTGTCGGAGGATATTTGCCTTTGGCCCTGTAGTCCCTCCAAGGGATCAAGAAATCAAATATGTTCTCAGATTCTACATGAATACTAGACCAAAGAGATCACACGAAAACTACAGATATAGAGTCCTGTGAGCATAACTAACAGAACACTAACAGTTTTCAGAAAGCTTCTTTCCAGATTTCATCTGAGGATATTTCTTTTCACCAAAGCCTCCTACTGCGCGCATCCAAATATACCTTCTGCCAATACCACAAAACTGCTCTTCGCGAAAGGATCTGGAGAGGAAACTGTAACTCTGTGAGATGATTTTCACAGAACACCAAAGAATTCCCAGAAAGCTTCTTTTCTCTTTGTTTCATCGTGACACGCTATTTCCTTTGGCCTGAATCCCTTCCAAGGGAGAATGGCCGAAATAGTCTGTTCTCGATTACCCCCCCCCCCCCCCACAGGAAAAATGAAGTCCTACGCAAAAGAGATCCACGCGAAATACCCAGATGTAACTCTGTGAGTGAAGTGCACACATCACTCAGAACAGGTTTTTCTGAAAAAAACCTTCTGTCCAGATTTCATCTGAGACTATTCTCTTTTGTTACTATGACTATTCTTTCGTGTTGATTCTTGAGCGAGGCTGAACTCCTGTTGAATGGTTCGATACGTTTTCGCGCATTCCTTTTCTGTAACCAGCACTTCTGGGCAGTGCAGAGGCGGGTGGATCACGAGTCAGGAATCAGACCAGCCTGGCTAACATGGTGAAGCCCCAATTCTAAAACAAAATACAAAAAAAATAATTAGACTGAGCATGGTGGTGGCAGGCCTGTATGTCCCCAGCTACTCGCGGAGGCCCTGAGGCAGGAGAATGGCATGAACCTGGGGGCGAACTTGACAGCGAGCCGAGCGATCGGTGCCCACTCACTTCCAGCCTGCGCGCCAAAACAGAGCAAGACTCCATCTCAAAAAAAAAAAAAAAAGACTGTCTC